CAGTGCCCAGAACAATTAGATTCGTGTAGGAAAATATTCAGGACTTCTGTGACCACGTGCAATGTGGGCTCATGGGTCAGGGTGGGTCCTGTCACTGTTCCCATCGACCTGGCTACCCTGGCTGCCACCCGTCTCTGGGGTCCAGGGCCAACGTCCAACCGGAGAGCACCAGAACCACCTCACTGTTGTATGCTAGCTGGCTCTCCCTCTGGGGTGGGAGGCCGGGCTCACCTAGGTTGACAGAGGAACAACGATTCAGTGTGTTGCTGTGTCCCATGCCGTTCAAAGGCGGACTTTAATCTCGGTGACAGAGCTGCGCCTCCCCCCGTGTGGCGGCTCTTGGGTTGCCTGAGAGTGTCTGCCTCACGAGCTCTGCTCTTAGCACTTGTCCTTTTAGACGCTTTACTTCTCCAGCTGTCGCCCTGACCTGTCCCCTCCTGGCCAGACACTGGCATTGCTGCACCATGTCGTTTTTTACAACATTCAACTTCAGCATTTTTACTATTATAAGAAACTGTCCCTCCAGATCAATAAAGACTGCTTTTCAAGTTTGTGGTTTGCTTTGCTGGATGTTGTGGAGTGTGGGTTTGGAGGTGAAGGGCTAGGGTCACCTGGGACCTCCAGGTGGGTCCTGGGCACAGGTCCCCGAGGCTCCAGTGTGCCTCCTGATGACAAGTGGGGTATCCTGACTGCCTCTGGAGTCTCTTTTTCTCCTGACCTTCTCCAAAGGATGCCAGCCCTATCTGCCATGTGTCCAGGCAGAGCAGTAAGCCAGCCGAACCTGGGTACCAGGAAGAATAGCAACACGCTGGGGATGTGATTCAGAGAGAGCACAGGAGGCCCTGGTTGAGTCACACGGCACATCTGTGACTGAACAGAACTAAGGACCATTCTGGGTTTGGACGGAGGTGACAGGAGCCAAGGTCACTGTAGAGTGTCAAATCCCAGCAGTCTCCCGGATATACTGGATGTGTTCTTGGCGCCACCTGGTGGCTACTGGTGGAACTCCTGGAGCAAGAGATGAGCAACTACCCTGCAAAACATTCATTTAAGAGGCCTCAGGTTCTGGGCTCCCTGCAGGCATGGGGGACTATACATGTACAGAGCCCAGTGGCTGGTGGCTGGTGGCCTCACTGGGACGGTGTCTGACTCTTGCAACGATAGGACTTGGTGATGGTCTTGACCTCTGGAAGATGAGACTGTCCACTTCCACAATAGCCTGTTTTTCTCTGGGTGACTTCTAGAGCCTTCCTGGAGGCACACACAGCATTGTATACTGCACTTGAAGTTATTAGGGATCTATAGAAGACACTGGATACAGGTGGTGGTGTACACCTTTGGTACAGCACTCAGAAGGTGGAGGCAGATAGATCTCGAGTTCAAGCCCAGCCAGGCCTACATAGCAAGACACTGGGGGCTGGGGGAGAGGGGGAGCACACACATGGCAGATAGCGGTCTCTGTGACCTTCAGACTTAGAGCAAAACCTTATATGAATAAAGCGGCTGAAATGTAGAAACAGCTAAAGCCAGAGCAGGGCCGGATGGAATGCTGCAGGCTGTTCTTTCCAGGAGACCCCCCCGCTCAGGGATGTCTCTAGTGCAGAGGAAGGTGTAGATGGAAGCTTCTGTCCTGCCACCATTTGGTCTCAAACACAGAGGCTTATAGTAATTATAAACTGTTTGGCTAATGGCTCAGGCATATTACTGACTAACTCTCACAATTAAATTTACCCACAATTCTCATCTATGTTTAGCCACGTGGCTTGGTTCCTTTTCTCAGGCATTCTCATCTTGCTTCCTCAGCGTTTGGCTGGCAACTGTGTCTCTGCCTTTCCTCTCCCCGGCATTCTCCAACCTATACTGCCTGGCTACTGCCAATCAGCATATTATTAAACCAATACGAGTGACAAATCTTTACAGCATGCAAGAGCATCATCCCACATGTGGAAGGGGTCTAGGTGGGCATTTTACAGTTGGGTATTATTAATGGTCAGCTGAGCCCATTGTTAACTCAGAATCGTTGGCAAGAAGTGGGCATCCAGGGGATGCTCTTGGGACATGCGGGACCCTCACCAAAGGCAGACGTAGCCTAGCCTGCAACCAGAGCAGATGAGGGGCTAACTCTGCCGCAAGGAAGGGCTGGCGAGCTTAAAGGAGGAGTCTAAAGTAGTCCACTTTATAGAAAGTTGAATGGTGTTTGCCAGGGTGGGGACCAGTCGGAACGAGGAGTAATTGCTTACTGGTTATTGTTTCCATTTAGGGAAATGACCTACTAAGGCCAGGCGAGGAAAGGAAAGTTTACTGTTTATCTTATGCAGACTGAGTTGAGAGAAGACCTTCTGGATTGTGTTCTGGGATAATGGTTGGGTACTTGTACTGTGACACTCTTGCGTTGTGTTCTAGAATATGGCTAAGAACTCCTATGACCCTAGTCCTGGGGAGATTGAGCAGACGTCCAGTCACTCCAGCTAGGGAACCCATGACAGAGCAAAGTACAGACACCACCAAGGAACAGAAGTGACTCGAGAGACAGCTGCATCACCACAGCATGGGTGACAGCATACACTGCAGGCGGCTGAACAGTAGTCTGAGCCTCTGACACAGCTCATGGGGGTTTGCTTGTTCCAGGCAGGTCAGCTGACCTGAGACAGCGAGGGAGGGACAGGCCTAGTGAGTCTGGTCAGTGTCAGGCACTTCTGCAGTCCTGGAGTTTACTTGCTTAGAGCTCCCTACAGGAGTGGTGTGTCACCAACACCCTGTCTTACAGTTTCCCTCCAAGACAGGAAGCTGCTACGGGTCAGGACCGACAGCAGTAGTACTTGGTCTGGCATTGCTTCCACCTCAGGAAGAGGCCAAGCAGTTTGCACTAGGGGAGGGGAGGCCTGCCCACAGTCTGAAAACCCCAGTGAGGATCCTGCCCATGTTCCTCCTTTGTTGGGAATGTGAACTTGCGCTCTCCCTGGCTCTCAAAAACAGTAACACTGAAGGGGGCTCTGCTCCGGCGTGCAGGTCACACTTGCAAACCGATGTGCAAGCTCTGGCCACCCTAGCTGTAAGCCCCAAACCTTCTTAGTCCTTTTCAAGGCTCTCTGAGTGCCCTGCACGCAGGAGCTAACACCCTGAACTCATCTCATTCCCTTCTTTGGGGTTACCATCCGACACTGGGTGCTGTCTGATGTCTTGGTACTTGGAGTGCTCTGTTGGTAAAATGTTTGCTGTGTAAACATGACTGATCCCCAGAATATACATTTAAAAACGCCAGACGCGGTGGCATTTGACTGTAATCCTAATGCTGGGGAGACTAAGACAGGTGGGTCCCTAAGGCTTGTTGGCCAGACGGCCTAGCCTAATCAGTGAGCTCCAGGCCAGATGAGAAGCCCCGCCTCAGAAACCAAGCCACCCACAAACCAAATAAAAACAAAACACAAAGTAGTCTGGCTCCACGCATGCATGCACACTAGCATACTCATATGTACTCCCTAAACAAGCCGTTTTTAAGTCCCCACCACTCCATGGCTGGATTACAAGTCTATGACACGTAAGGTGCCATTTCAAGCCAAGTCACAGCTCTTGGGAACCCACCTACATGGCAGCTGAAGGGTTAACAAACATCATATATTCTGAATGGTGGGATCAGAAAAGTCAACAGGGCTGTGCATTAAGGCACTAAGATGCTTCTGAACCCAAACCGGAAAGGAATACACGAACCACACGGACAGTCAGGGAAGGGGAGCTAAGGGAAGCATGTTGCAGAGTGAACCCTGGGGGCAGGAGCAGGAGAGGCGAAGACGCTGGCATTTTACAGTCAGCCAGCTGCTTCTGAGGACAGCCTGGAGGTGGTGGGCTGCACAATGATCCTCGCTGGGGAGAGATGGGCTGAGCAGGATGGAGGACAGGGCCTGACTGGAAGCAGCATCAGAAGTCGTGGGCGTGAGGGTGTGGTGTGTGGACAGGGTTTGCTGTGGCTCCTGTGTCCCCAGCATCCAGCTCCTTCCTGATACTTGTTGACAAGGGTTACGGCTTCAGCACTTACGACAGCCTCAGAACGTTTAAGACTCAGAAGACTGCCAGGCATATCGGCGCGCGCCTTTAATCCCAGCGCTGGGAGGCAGAGGCAGGTGATCTATCTCTTTGTTGAGTTTGAGGCCAGCCTGGTCTACACAGTTTGACAACATCCAGAGCTATAGTAAGCCCTTGCTGCAAATACATACCTGCAAGCATACAAGCATACAAGCATGCATGCACGCACGCACGCACGCACGCACGCACACACACACACACACACACACACACACACACACACACACACACACACTCACTCACTCACTCCAGGGAGAACCCCAAATCCCATCTCAGAGCTTTGCTGGTCAGCCTATCTGTTTCTCCCCTACCCAGCACTGCTGCAGTAGCTTACGTGCTACTCCTGGCCCAGATGGGTCCAGCTCCAAGCCACTGTCTACAGACCAGCAGCTTTCAGTATTACCTAACCCTCAAAAACTAGCCGGGGTCCCATTACCCACAGCAGTGATGGCTCCCCACCCCACCATTATTATGTCTTTTCCCACCTGCAGCCTCCAAACCTCCTGCTTGCACAGGGGCTATGGGCCAACTGTCCAGCCACACCAGGAAGGTTGAACCCACCCCATCTAGGGCAAGGAAGCTCCACACCCCAGCCACACACTTCTAAGCAGCAGGCCCATGTGGCTGCAGCAGCCAGCCCACCAGTACCTTCCACCGTATGTCCTGTGAATTCCTTCCGAAACCCTGCATAAACTCCATCTCTGGGCGGCTACGGTGGTGCGTGCCTTTTTTCTTTTTTCTTTAACAGGGTAAGTCAATTTATTAAAAATGTTGACTCAGAGCCAGGTGGTGGTGGTGCACGCCTTTAATCCCAGCACTCGGGAGGCAGAGGCAGGCGGATCTCTGTGAGTTCGAGGCCGGGCTGGACCGATAGCCTCTGAAACAATACAGAGAAACCCTGTCTCGTAAAAACCAAAAAAAAAAAAAAAAAAAAAAAAAAAGTTGACTCAGGCATCTGCAATAGTGACTTCAACCTCCACTCCTGGCTCAATATTGATGGGCGTGATCTGCTTGACAGTCTCGGAAGGACTGTGCAAATCAAGCAGTCGCTTGTGGATTCTCATCTGGAAACGATCCCATGTCCTAGAACCTTCTCCACAAGGTGTTTTTCTTGTCGTGATTCTCAGCATCTTAGTAGGCATGCGCACCGGTCCCTTTACCTAAAGATTCTTCTCCTTCGCGCCTCTGACCAGGTCGGCACACACCTTCTCCAGCGACTTCACGCTGCGGCTGATGACCGTGATCTGAATCCGGTGAATCGCCACCTCGGGTTCCATGGGCGTCTTCCCAGTGTCTTTAAAAGCCATGGCTGTGGAGAGTCTTCCTGACAGACTTGTTCCTCGGCAGGAGCGAACAGCGGTGAGTCAGGACAGGAAAGGACGGGCAGAGCTCCGCACGCACCACCACCACGCCTCTGGTACGTGCCTTTTATCCCAGCACTTGAGGCAGATGCAGGGGGATCTCTGTGAGTTCCAGGCCAGCCAGGGTTACACAGGGAAATCCTGTCTCAAAAAACCAAACAAGCCAGGCGGTGGTGCACACCTTTAATACCAGCGCCCGGGAGGCAGAGGTAGGTAGAAATCTGTGAGTTCGAGGCCAGCCTGATGTACAGAGTGAGTTCCAGAACAGCTAGGGCTGTTAGACAGAGAAACCCTGTCTTGAAAAACAACAAAACCCCATCTCTGGTGAAGCGTTCCATATTTTTGCTCAACCTCTTTTGTATGTGTAACTTGAAGCTAATTTGCACTACTGGATATCTGACTGGAGCCACAGATACAGACTCTGTATTGTTCTTACTGAAACACAGCATGGAATTAACACTAACCCTGAATAAAACAAACCTAAATTAAAAATGCCAAATAAAAAAACAAAACAAAAAACCCCACATCTCTGAAGATGCGGTGAGGACTGTTGTACCCTAGCATCAACAGGACACTCCACTGGGCCAGACCTCCCGGAGGATGAGGGCTCATCAAATCATCTGGCATTGGAAAAGATGGCCATGTGACAGTGGCCTCGGAGAGAGGGTAGCTGACCACACAGGTGACTTCTCGGCAGCCAGACTCCTGGGGTCCAGCGCCTCCCTGTCTTTCAGCTGAGCGAGGACAGGACAGAATTCTCTGGGCCGGTTTGCCTGTCAGGTGGGGCCAATAAGCAGGGTATCGCCAGACCAAGGCGACTGAGGTGCTGGCAGAACTGCCCGAGGCTGTCCCCGCTGCCCTCGGGTGACAGATGAAAGGGACTCCTTGTGCAAATATAGAGGTTTATTCATTCGTTACTGGGGTACAAAACATAATGTATAAAAAGCCAGCTCCTCTCTTCAGTGTGAGCATCTTGTGCCGTCCATGGCCACCACGTCAGGTTTCAAACACAGCGCAGCTGGTGCAAAGTATCTTCTCCCCGTCATCAGCGTAACTACAGTTGTCGGGGGACAGAGAGAAAAGCCACCTGAGAGGCCGATCGCATCTCTACTTCCTGAAGCCCTGAGTCCCAGGACACCTCAGCATGTGACTGCAGCTTTCCAGGGACAGTCTGGGGATGCCACGCTCTGGGAGGTCTAGCATGCAACGTCCTATGGACCCGACATCTGGGTTCCAGCCCTTTCTTTTCTTTTTTTTTCTTTTTGGTTTTTGGAGACAGGGTTTCTCTGTGGCTTTGGAGGCTGTCCTGGAACTAGCTCTTGTAGACCAGGGTGGTCTAGAACTCACAGAGATCCGCCTGCCTCTGCCTCCCGAGTGCTGGGATTAAAGGCGTGCGCCACCAACGCCCCTGGCTGCTGGCTCCAGCCCTTTCTAGTTCATCAGATAGGTGAGCAGATGTCATGAGACACACACAGATGTGACATGAAGACACAGCAACAAGACGGCCACCGACGGGAACACTAAGGACCTGTAGTAAGCTGTCACCAGGAGCTGGGAAGCAGCCTGGTCAATTCTCCCTCCCAGCCTTAGCGTGACCAGCCCTACGGGCACCCGAGACTTCCCCAGAGCGTCCCTGCTGGGCATTCCTGATCTCTCCAAACCACTGAAGAGTGCCCTAGCGGTGAGGGCTTGCCATGTGATGTGTGGGTTTTACGTCTGACCCATTAGCTTTAGAAATGCTGGGCCTGAGCTTATGTGGACCCACTGGGCTGAGTCCATACACATTTGGTGGAGTGTGTCCGCACAGGGTGGGACCAGGGGTGGGCTCGGCAGTGTCCACCCCCTCACCAAGTACTTACAAATACGCAGCTGACCCAGCTGGCTGCAATGAACTGATGAGCAGTACCCCCTTCCCCTTCCGTACCACCTAAGAGACCACTGCCAACCAGGAGACACTCAGGGAAGACCTGACCTGCATGTGGCAGGCGTGAGGCGATCCTCAGGTGACAGCCACACGCATCAGAAGCTGAAGCTGGGAAACAGTGTGGATGACTGGAGCTCTAACAAGGACTCGGAAGGCCAACCACAGGGCTGTTTAAGCCAGGCGGCTGCTTTACGCAGGCCACAGGCACTTGGGAAACACCGAGTCTTGAGAAGAGCCTGACGATGAATGGTTCCTACAGAGAACCCACCCAGGGAGAGGGACAGTGATTTCTACAGACCCACAGATCACAGCACTCACTCTGCAAGGCCACACAGCACGCAGGCCAAGGCGCCGCAGCCCCAGCAGGTGTAAACACATTGTCCACACAGGGCCCGGTCACACTGGCTGCAGACCGCCTTCCCGTCCGCGGATCTCACGCAGGATGAGCAGGCGATGGCAGCTGTCCTGGGCAGACCTGTGAGGAAAAACACACCAAGGCTGTCGGCACTGGGAAGAACCTGGAGGAGCACGAGGGCAGTGGGTCCCTACCTGCCCCAGCAACCGAATCCTTCTTACAACTACTGCCCCAGCAACCCAGTCCTTCTTACAACTCTCAGCCACCTGGGGCACCACACTGAAGATCCACAACAGTGCATTCCCGGGACCAGTCACAGGACTGACTCCACGACAGATCACCTGCCTAGTCCTAGTACAGAAGCCCCCTCCCCTGGAGCACTCTATCAGAACTGAGTCTGTGTCGAGGTCTCAAGATATGGTTCGCTGTTTCGCTGGTCAGCCAGGTGGTTTCCGGCTGCCTCTGGGACCAGCCAGATTCAGGGCTGATGCAGAGGCCTGTTTTCACCAGTCACATGAGGTCATCTCTTCACAGGCAATGGACAGGAATCTTCCTACTACAGAGGGGATACCGGGAGAACCCTGTCCCTCTCCGGTACAACAGTTGGAGACTGCTGACTTCCACTCCTGGATATCTGTGAGGGGCAGACCTCCCAACAACAGGAGGCCTACCAACCTGCCATATGCTCAGTTTACCAGGCTCAAGGTCAGTGGTTCTCAACCTTCCTGCTAATACGGTTCCTCTACTTTATAACTGCAATTTTTTTTTTTTTTTTTTTTTGGTTTTTGTCTTGGAAGCTGTCCTGGAACTCGCTTTGTATAACTGTAATTTTGTTACTTTTAGGAACTGTAATGCAGATATGTTTTGGAGACAGATGCAGGCCAAGGGGTCGTGACCCCCCCAGGTTGAGAACCACTGCTCTAAGTGGCTGCTACTCGCCAAGGTCATCAAAGCCCCTGAAAAGAGCATTTGCCAGGTGTAAATGACCAGCAAGTACCGCTGGCGGCTACTCACCAGCTTCCGAGGCCTGAGCCTGGCACCGCATCAGCCGGCCATCAGGTCCAATCAGCATCTGTCCCCTTGCAGCTTGAGGGGCCCGCACCAGGCCAGGCTTCGGTGACTCCGGCAGGTGGATGACAGAACAGCTCTCGCCCCATATGTGGTCTCTACAGGCCTGGGCCCCTTGGAAAAGGAGCTGCCTGGTTCTTTCTGGGGAAGAGGAGATCCTTCCTAAAGACAACACGGCCAACGGCAAGGCCCTCGCGCAGGCACAGCGTCCTTTGTGCCGGTTCCCTATGCTGTGACACTGCCAGGCCCTCCCTACCCCCAAGCCGAAGATGCTCCTCGTCCTTTCTCTGACTCCACTGCTGCCGGCGGATACTGCAGCCCAGGCGCCGCACCCCACACGCTCGACGCTGGCTGGCCCTCCTTCCGTTAGTCTATCTCAGCAGCAGCCGCTAATCTTACTTCATCCTCTCCATCCTCCCATCGCTCCTGTAAGCTTGTCTCACCACGCCAGAGAAAGCTCTGGCCCTGAAGCCTTCATTCTCCAAAGCGAGTGCCCCGAGGAGGCGGGAGACACACAGGTTCAACACGGCGCGCACAGTCACTGTCAGGCTAGTGGACAACTGCACTTGCCACAGGGGGCAGGGACGGCGACCTCCTGGCAAAGGACTCCCGGAACCTTCCAGCCCCCGCCCCGCCCCCAACCCAGGGCTGAGTGGCTGCTCACAAATCTTTAACGGTGGACTCCCATTAGGCTACAGGCCTAGGAACCCTCAAAATGAGACACTGGGTGCTAGTTCCAGAAATGCTCACTCCCACATACAGCCAGGAGAGGTCAGACCCAGGGGCCTCTCTGTGAAAAGTGGCAGCAGCAACAGCGAGCAGAAAGTAGTCTACTGTTGTTTGTCTGAAATGTGGGCACAACGCTTTGCTGTTCAGGCCTCACGCTTCACTCATCACCCCCCCCCGCCCCCTAAGGTCTCAGCCCTTGAGTGTGCATTCCCCAGTACAGAAAGGGAAAAGGCCAGTCAGCCACACACACTCTTGGGGCCCGAATAGGACGTCTGTAATTCCTGGGGCTTTAATGACACCACTCAAAACTTCAGGTACGAACTTTGCCCTTAGCAACGCAAATCGCGTCGCATCTGCCCCAGAGAGTCATCGCTGCAAAGCAATGGTCAACAACATCCGTCTGCTTAGAAAGTCCGCTTGAGAGGGCCTCCTGCAGCGCACGCCTTCACGCCCACCCCGGCCGGGTCCCTCCGCCTGTGCCGAGCCAGGCTACACCGCTCGGCAGCACTCGGCTTGACTCGGATTTCCCCGGGAGCGGCACGAAGCCGCCTCCACCTCCCCACCCCCGGGTTCGCGACGCGCAAGCCAGTTGGGGTCTCCCGCTGCCCCGTGCGGCGCGGCCCGCTCTGCCACGGAACCCCCGCACTCACCGAACACCTCGCGCGAGCAGCGCTCGGCGAACACCCCGCGGCTCAGCTCTCTCGGGCCCACATGGACCTTGAGCTGCAGCGGGGAAGCGTCCCCGAACGGGCAGCCCCGCTTGGGCATGGCAGCGGGTACCAAACACGGAGCACGGCGGCGCACAGCGCGCCCAACACACGTCACAGCGCGCTCACACCCCGAGGGCGAGGGCGGGGCGGGCGAGGGCGCGGCGCCCGATAGGCCGGGGAGAGCCCGGGGGCGGGGCTCAAGGGCACGGGATAGGCCGAGGCAGGAAGTGGGCGGGAAAAGGCCAAAGGGGATGGTACGGAGGACGGTGTCTGCGCGTGGCGCGGCGCGCGATAGGCCGAGAGTTGGAGGCGGGCGGGGATAGCGCGCGAGACGGCTCGGGATAGGTCGAGCATTAAGAGGCGGGGCTCTGGAGGGGTGTGGCGCGGGGAATAAGCGGGAGGATGCCCAGGGGCGGGACTTAACGCGCCGAGGGCTCAGCGCGCGAAAAGCGGAAAGTCTCTGTTGTCGCTAAGCAACTGTGATGGTTAATCTTACTGGGCTACGAGTCACAGGCAGTCGGGTGGCGCGTTTTGTCCGGGCTTCCAGTCGTGATGGGTCCCGGCACCTGTCTTTCCCTGCGTCCCTGAGCCTGAGCTTGGGTGATGGTTTACGGCGTCCTCTGCGGGTCCCCTGGTCAGAGCGGATTTAAAACTGCCCGGGCGTCTTCTGACACGGTGAAACCCAGGCAAAGCGGCGGTGCCGAGGGCCTTCTCAGTCCTTGTATTTGCACACAGTGTCTGAACGTAAGAGCAACCAGTTGAGGTGCATTGAGTTTTGCGCTCATCTCGGTGTGCCGGTGACCGGCGCATGCTCAGCAGGCGTCTATTCTCCAGATTTTGGAGACTCCTCACCGCCCCCCCCGCCCCCCGCCCCAGGTCTCCGTACTTGAATTTGCATTCCCGAGTCCAGAAAGGGAAAAGGCCAATCACTTGGGGCTGAATAGGGAGCCCGTAATGACGAAGCCTGGGCTTCGCGGCACATTCCCAAGGCACAGTCTCAGATCAAAGTGTTGGGTTTTCTGCAAGCCTCTCGCTTTCCTCCATCTGCAGATGGAAACTGGATGAGGTGTCTGTGTTCCTCATCTCGTGAAAACACCAAGTGCTTTGAATTCGCGTCCACCTCAAGGACCCCGTTTTAGCTCGTTAAGACTATATATCGCCCGGGGTTGGTGGCGCTCGCCTTTAATCCCAGCACTCGGGAGGCAGAGGCAGGTGGATTTCTGTGAGTTCAAGGCCAGCCTGGTCTACAGAGCTACTTCCAGGACAGCCTCCAAAACAATACAGGGAAACCCTGTCTCGAAAAACCAAACCAAACCAAACCAACCAAACAAACAAACAAACAAAAAAAAAACACCCTATATATCCAGGAGCCAAGTGTGGCACCCGAGGCAGAGGCAGGCTCATCTATCTCTGTGTTCGAGGCCAGTCTGAGCTGTATAGTGAGACCCTGTCTCAAGATACCAAAAGCAAAATAAGCAAAAGCTGTGTCCAGAAAGTCACGTTCTGAGGCCCTGGGAGTTAGGACTTCAACATGAACAGGGGACACAATTCCACACAGAACAAGTGCCAAGAAAGTGTACAGGTTAAAGCCCTGATGACAAACACCTGTAGAAGTGACTACAGACTTCTGCGGTTCCTTTCCCCATGGGTGGTGGCCCCTGTAAGAAATGGACTCTACTTCTATGTGGAGACATGTATATGTCTCCTACTGTAAGGCTTAAATCCAGTGGACAGACAGGTTCGGGAACGTGGATAGGGAACCGCCACTCGGAAGGCTGTTTACATTAACATACCCCCCCCCAATTCCCTGCAAGCTTCCATGAGGGTCCACTGGGTCTGCCTGCCGGTCGTGTGTAAGAAAGGTGTAATCATGTCATAGTTTCTTCTGTCTTTTTCTTCTGGCGGGGGGCCCAGCCAGAGTATGCTTGAAACATTTCTAACTCTGGGTGTTAGGGAGGACTCACTCTGTGTGGCTGACCTATCTGGCTGCTCTCCCACAGTTCTGAGCTTGCTCCCTCTAGTTCACGTCTGTTGGCAGCTGGTTCGTTTTGATACTGGGTGTTCTCCTGCCTAGACAGCCTAAAGTTTGTGTATCTGCCTGTTAAAGACACCGGGGCCATTGGCAAGCTTTGCCTATGATGAATTTAGCTCCTGTGGACCAGCTTTCTGACACACTGATCACTCAGTGTTGGTTGGTACTCTGGAGTGGGGCTCCCTGTTCCCTGCACGTGTGAATGTGTTAGAGGGAGGGGGGACATATGCTTATCTTCTAAACAGACTGGCAGCTTCCCAAAGGGTTAGGAATAGGGTCGTTTAAGTCAAGAATGTTATTGCGATTTTTCTTCCCGCTTGGTCCTCAGGGAGCTGTGGGAAAAGACCTTCATCTCTAACCCACCTGATAGGCTCAGGGAGGTTTAGTGTGAGCCTTTCCTGGGTGGCCTGGTGTGAATGTGAAGTCTCTCCTCAGAGGCCCCACATGTTGGTCCCCAGATGGCAGCATGATCCAGGGGTGACTGGATCATGACGGCCTAACTTCAATGGATTAATCCTTCAGTGAGGTCATGACTGGATGGGCTTTTAGGTGAGAGCCGGTTGGAGGAAGTACCCCATTGAAAGTGTGTCTTGAAGGGTGTATGGTATCCGGGTCCCCACCCTGTCTCTCCACTTCCTTCCTGATAAAATGCCTCTCCACCAGGATGCTTCTGCCTCTCCATGGGGCTCTAGTCATGGGGCTAGTCCTGAGGTGACTCCTGATGAAACCATGATCCAAAATCAATCCTTTTAGTTATATATATATATATATATATATATATGTATATATAGTTATTTTGTCATAGAGGTGAAAACACAATGAGATATGTCCTTAGACTGGGATAGCCCAATGTATCCCCAAACTGTTGGTGTCCCAGTGAGCACAGGCAGTGCTAGTTAAGACCTGTCTGCTTCAGCCTGGAGAAGTTTCCAGGGACAGTGACCAAGTGTGTGTGTCTGCGCTGCTCTGTCCCTGGAGACAGGAAGGATTGTTATTGCTGGACCCCTGGCAGCTCTGGAGTGTACGTTCTCAGAAGGTTAGTCCTGGGAAACATGTAATATACCCGATCCGTCTTTCATGGGCTTGCTGCATTTTTTCCCCTGAGGAAGCACAACACTGTGGCTCCATGACACCAGAAATGTAGGAGTCCAGCTGTTAGGACACCTTGGTCCTAACACCCATATTACACCAGAAATGTAGGAGTCCAGCTGTTAGGACACCTTGGTCCTAACACCCATATTACACCAGAAATGTAGGAGTCCAGCTGTTAGGACACCTTGGTCCTAACACCCATATTACACCAGTTAACACTGGCTCTCTCCCAAGCTCAGCAGGACAATGTCACTAAGTGTGAAGTGCAGGCCACAGACACACAGATGGTTTCCTGATTGATACTGGACAGTAGTTTTGATTTAAAGGCAGATGACCCCGCCCACTTATGGCTGGCTCTGTGACAGGCCTTTCCTCACACCTGGGAAACGGGCTCCTCCTGCTGTGCTGCATGTAAGTCCTCAGTAAGATACCCTTCAGGCAATCTTGGCTCTGTGTGCTTCTGGTTTGGGTTTCTCAGACCCTATGCTGGTGGCAGCATCCCTCATACAGCTGGGTTTTGCTCTCTGAGAGTGGCATCATGTAGACCATCACCATTGGGAGAGGTGACTAAAAGTGACGAGGACAGAGTCAAGACAGGTGTAATAGCCTCTCGGTGGCTCCCGGGCATGTGTTTATTATGGCATGGTTCCAGCTGAACACACACCGTTGACCATCAGTCATGAAAGGCCTCTGCTTCGAGCACTTAGGCTCATTTTAAAAGCTGACTTTAAAAAGTGTACACAGTGTTTTTCTTTCACACCCTTAAAATTGTCGGAGAGTTCAGTGGGCCAAGCTGAGGACGTACATAGAAAAATAGAAGTATGGGAAATGGTTTCAGATTGTCTTGTGGAAGGCATTGGCTGTACCACTGAGAATCTTGGCTGCAGCTGCTCACTCATGGTGGTGGGCTGTGGTGCTGGCTTCTGCTTGGCATCTAAAACAGCTGGATCATGGACTCTCTGGACTTCCCAACGCCGACCCATTTGACTGAGGGGCAACAAAGAACACAGCAGAGACACCATGAGCAAAAACGGTTCCCGGGACTTGGAGAGAAGACTCTGTTGGTAGAGCTTCCTCACAAGACACCAGCCTACTGGCATACCCTTGCAATCCCTACAATGGGGAAGTGGAGACAGAGCCCTGGGGCTCCCTGGCCATCCAGTCTAGCCTGCTCAGTGAGCTCTAGACCAGTGAGAAACCCAGTCACACGAAGAGGAAGACAGCATTCCTGGTTCCTGAGGTGACTCCTGAGGCTATCTTCTGCACACATGTACACACGTCACAAAATGTCCCTCAATGCCCAATCTTGTGCTTTTCATTCCCCTGGCAGAAGGGGCTGTCTGTTTACCGAATGGAGAATTTTAAAAATAAAGTAAGGTTTTTAAAATTTTAGGGTGGGAGGGTGGGGGGAAAGGGGAGTGCGGGAGGAGGGGAGGGAGAGGGAACTGGGATTGACATGTAAAACAAGCTATTTAAAATAAAAAAGTTGAAAAAAATTTTATCTTATGTGATAAGAGTTTTGCCTGCATGTGTGCATGTGTTCCGTGACCAAGCCCGGTGCCCACAGAGGTCAGAAGAAGACACGGGATCCCTGGGAACTAGAGTTACAGGTGGTTGTGAGCGGCCATGTGGGTGGTGAGAACCAAACCCTGGTTCCCACAAGAGCAACCAGGCTCTAACTGCTGAGCCACCTCTCCTGCCCCAGAAGGGAGTGTTTTAAACTGTGCGGTGGGCCCTATAATGGCCATCCATCCACAGGCATCAGAAAGCAGCACCGTCTCCTGTCATCCTGGCCTGAACCATTGGGATGCAGCCCTGGGCCTTCTCTAGATGGCAGAGTAAACACAACCACAGGGCAGGCACACACCACGCCTGCTTCTTTGCACCCTAAACCACACCCTACGTGGTCACTGGGCCCCCACCTGGCTGGACCTGTGGAAGCGGCCCTCCCCAGGGGGCACCCGTTCCCAGCTCCACCTCTTCCTGTCTGATCCTTTCAGGTGGTTACTACCTGGGGGTTCTTACTCCTCACTGGGCCGTGTGTTGGGGCATCCAAGGCCGAGGGTGTTGGGGTAGGAGGAGAAGGCCCCCCGGCACCCACCTGCCACACCCAAGTGATTCTCCACGAAGCGCACATAGCTCTGGGCCTGCGGGGGAAGGTCGTCCCACTTCCTGGCGCCCGTGGTGTCTGCTTTCCATCCAGGCAGGGTCTCGTATTCCACCTCCACCTTCTGCAGGATCTCCTGGTTAGCTGGGGGTGGCAGAGAGTGGGGTCAGAAGGGACCCATAGACCGTCCTACTCCTGGGCATGGCTGTCTTCGGACCCAATGACTCTGCAGGCAGGAAGCTGCCGAGGACAAGTGGCCCCGCTGGCTTTTCAGCACAGGGCAGTGAGCAGGGGATTGTAGTGGGACTCAAACACCCGCTGGGCCCCTTCCAGCCAGGAAGCCTGGCCCGCTCCTAGACCCCGGATGACTGCTGAGTGTCCACAGAATGGAGAGATGCCAAGGTACAGCTGGAAATTATGAGACCGTAGAATCCTGAAGCCAGGCATCCCTACAGATATGCGACTCTCTTCTTGCCTGGGACCCCCAGCTCTGTGCTGGAACCACGGATCCCAGGGGATGTGTCATTCCTTGCTAATGGAAGACGCTGGAAAAGAAGCCTCCTAGAAGGGTTCTCCGGCCTCAGAGTCAGACAGTGTCTCACCTGGGTACTCCACGTTACCACAGAGCCCTGAGCCACCAGCAGGACGCTATCACCTTGAAGGATCACCCTTTCAAAGGTCAGGGGTCATAGAGTCAGAGGACCTCAAGGATTCACCGGGCTCCTCCAGCTGAGGGGTACTACTGAGTCTGTGTGGGTTTACGGGGAGGTACAAGCAAGAGACAGTTTCCTATGATATACTACAGGGCAGAGAAGCTCAGCTGGGGAGATGCGCCTCAGTCCCGAGGCTGACAGGCACATCCCAGATGCACAAGGAGCTAACAGGCAGAAAAAGTGCAGGGCACATGCGTGCAGGAGCCTAGCCGGATCCTTAGATGTCACCCAGGGATGGAGATACAGCTTGGGGGACTAAGTACCTGTTAGCAGAGGCGAGGCCCTGAGTTCTAGCCCCAGCACCAGGAAAAGCAATCCACCCACAAAGCAGGTTTTCTCGTCTGAAATGCATTATGTTTTCATAGGGAGTTTTCAAAGAAGCTCATTTCTCCTGACTTTGCAGGCTGTCCATCGCCCTGGAGGTGGGTCTTTCTGAAGCTGGTGAGGGTTCCCAGGACCAGGGCAAGTGATGGGGTAGGTTTTCAGCTGCCTTTCAGCCCTGTCCCAAGACATTTCCAAGCCACCAGAAGGCCTGGAGTTTCCCAGAGATGGTCCAGGCCTTACCAAGAAACTGAGGGACTAAAACCAGGTGGATTCCAGGCTTTGGAGACAAGCAGTGACCCTCAACTTAAAGTCCCTACACTAGCCACCTGAAAATTAGTGGATGTCTTTTCTAATGCTCAAAAAGTGTCCCAATGGCCAGAAAAAAAAACCCTCAGGCTCATTTCACATACCAGGAAAATAAGGAATCCTCTTCCCGTTGAGCTTGTAGGAGATGCCAACTTTAATTTCGCTCAGGACATCCAGGATATCCAGCTTGGTCAGGGCCAGCCTGTACCCAAAACAAGATACAGACAAAATGGAGAAACAGCCATTGCTTCCGTCTGGTTTTCACCCACCCCTTTCTCCTGCTGTTTGCACTGAACACGGTAAGGATTAGGTGATTTCCCCCCCAAATACAGTCACGGAACGGGCTGGAGAACAGGGGCATCTGCCTCTGTCCCCCAGCTGTAGCATCCCTGAAACCCGGGCGTTCTCTCTTGTTAGTGGGTGCCTCCTCTGCCTGGGGCTCCTGCCATGACTTCCCTGTGGGGTGGGGCATGTGGGGCCTCGTGCTCTGAGCATGGTGCCCACTTTTCCTTCCACTTTTCTAGGATGGATCCCGCTTGGACACCGCTCCTGAGCCGTGGCCATGCAGTATGGCGGCGGCCTTGCCTGGAGCTGCGGTGAGCTGAAGTTTCTTTCCCTCCCCCTTGTTTTTCCACATAGGCTTCACAGGTGGATCTCACCTGGCTGGGCCTGCTCAGGCAGGATGTGGGGTGCAGACCCGCGCTACCCCGCATCTGCTTCACAAGGTGTCACCTCGTCACCAGCCACGCACAGTTAAATTCTAGCTACCTATCACCCCTGCTTCCGTCCGGGAAGGCTCCGGTTAAGTCTTGAAGCCAGAAGAGACTTTCCAGGGCTGGTGTGTGTGTGTGTGTGTGTGTGTGTGTGTGTGTGTGTGTGTGTGTGTGTGTGTGTGAAGTCTTGGTCCTCTTTTGGAGCTGGAGAGTGGGCAGGGAAACCAGCATTTCACACCTCTTTCTGTACCCAGGACAGGGTCCTGAGCAATCAGACCTGCAGGGACCCCATGGGGTCCACCCTGTGCTCCCTGACACTCCTGCAGGAAATTGTTCTAGCATTCCAGCTGAAAGCATCTTTGGGGTTCTCCCTTGCAGGCTCACAGAGGTGGGGGGAAGCCCTCGCTGTGGCTGGAGGGATACCTGGCTTTAGGTCCTTACCCAACCTTGACCCCCACCTGTGTCTCCTGACTGGGGGAGGGTTTCGGGTTCTTCACGGGGAGCCTTTCTCACTGGGGCTCTGTGTGCTCGGGAGTGTTAAGTCCCATGGGAACCGTGGGACTGGTCGGTCTCCTTGCTGCTAGAGGTACCCAGAGTCCTGCCTGCCTGTCTGCTTCCCCCGCCCAGGCCTGTCCCTCTTCCCAACTCTCTCTCCTCGATGACAGGTCCTTCTTGCTTATAAACCACCATTGTACTTTGTAGGACGTCCCCCGAGCCCTGCAGACAAAGCCAGTGGCCATGTTTGCGTGTGCACCGTACGGAATGGAGGCCAGAACACCCATCCCCCCACCCCCATCCTCCCAAGCACGCCCTTCTCCGAAGCCTGCTCTTCTCAGGCCCTGGTACGCCAGCTTAGGATCCCCACAGCATGGTGACCACCCAGTCAGCCTCACACTAACTCCCACGTGACCTTCGCCGTGATCTTTTGATTGGTCAGGATGGAAGGCAGTGCCGTCCATGGGTTTGCTTCACACCTATGGCCTCCGTGCTACCCCCCCCCCACGTCGGCCTTGCTCTTGGGGGCGGGGGTTGGTTGGATGGAGAGACTCCATACCGATGTTGGGGCCCCGGACCCTGAGATGAGTCCCACCTGCCCAGAGGGCATTCTATGTGATATAGCCTTGATGACACCTTGGTGCATCTGTAGACAGGGACGACTTACGCAGTGAAGCCATTGACCATGTGAGCGTATCTCAGGATCATCAGGTCCAGCCATCCGCAGCGTCTCTTCCTGCCTGTGGTCACCCCCCACTCATGGCCACGGTTCTGTAGCAGGTCTCCAATTTCCTACGTGACAGTAAAGGACTGTCTGTGCTGCCATGTTGGGCACTGGCCAGGGTGGGTGTGGTGTGTGCCCACTTGTCTCCCGTGCCCTCCCCATCCTTTCCTCCCCATCCTTCTTCTGGATGGGCACACACACGACTTTGCTCCCCAGTATGGCTCTGAGAAGGCAGCACGTCTTTTCCAGAACACCCCAGAAGTCCAGCCTGTTTGTGGGGGCACAGGCAGCACATGTGTAAGTGTGGGCAAGGGGTTGTGGGTCCTGTCCTGCAACTTGAGGTAGGGGGCAGGATTTATCCACACCCTGAATATAGCCTCGCCTCAGACTCTCTCAAACACCTGCCTTTCCTGGTCCAAGAGCCCATCCAAATCAGGTGTCAGGGGAGGAAGGCCAGGAAGATTGTGAGGCCTCAGTACCTCCTAGAAATGCTGCAAGGCCGGAGAGCTGGGGGGGAGGGTGCTGATTTCAGCCTCAGTTCTAAGTTAGTGCTGAAGTATTCTCGCTTGTCTGTGGACCTCACATGCTTGATGGAGCAATGGAGTTTGAGGCACACACACGTTCTCACATGCACGCATGCATGCACACATGCACACCCACACACCCACACACACACATATACACGTTCACACATACATGCACACACACAGATGCACATATACAGGTTCATGCACATATGAACACACACACGTTGACGAATACAAGCACATATATACACACACATACACATTCACGTATGCACGCATGCACGCGCGCGCGCGCGCGCGCGCGCGCACACACACACACACACACACACCCCTTTTGTGAACTGGGCTGTAGATGGTGATGGTCTCTAACACCCTCGTGAGCCTGTGCTGTAGAAAAACCCCATGAGGACATGGAGGATTGCTCAGCAAGGTCCCCTCAGCATGCCTGCAGTCCCACCTGATGCTGTGCAACCCCAAATGTCTCACCCCACCCCTGTGCTGGGACTCACATTGATCTGCTCCGTGGGGAAGGCCCCAATGCCCACACGGGTGGTGTAGGCCTTTACCACGCCATACACGTCACCTATGTTCTGAGGTGGGATGCCCAGGCCTGTGCACACGCCGCCCACAGTGCAGTTGGAGGAAGTCACAAAGGGGTAGGTCCCTGCGAGACAGAATAGTCAGTGGCCACCCATCACCCTTTTGCAGATCTCAGGGCCCAAGACGCCTTCTCAGCAAAGGGTTAGTTGGGTTCCCTCTAGGGACAAAACCAGAGCCACCAGTCGAGGGCCTGTCCTGGGGTGGTGGCCTACACAAGGTTCTGTGTGGCTCACATAGGAGGCTGTACTGAGTTGGCCTGGCCTCCCAACAACGAGGGCAGTAGACTGGTTTGTCATGGGGTCGGGGACATGAGGTACCCGGCCTCGCAAGGCTCCCTTGACCCACTTCTGGCCTTTGATGCTCCCTTATGGGGCTGAAGTTAGGCAAACAGGACAACGGGCGCATTGTGGTGGGTGTGGGTACGGACAACACTGCAGCTTTGGAAGGCGGCCTGCTGCATCCACTCAGCTGCTCCGTGAGCTTTCACAGTCCCAGCAGCTACAAAGGGCCATGCTAGAGCCCCTCAGGAGGGAGCTGCCTGGTAGAGGACTCACCGAAGTCAATGTCAAGGAGGGCTGCGTTGGCACCTTCCACCAGGATCTTCTTGGGGGGGCCATGGAGCGCCTCATACATGAAGTAGACACCGTCTCGAACCATGGGCCTGATCCTCTCAGCAAACCCCTGAGAGAACCGTGCAACCATGTGAGGGTGCCGAGAGGCAGGGTCCACACAGCCCATGAAAACTGACAGCTGGCAGCAGGGCCCGCCTGGGCCTTCTGTGCTGGGCGGCAGCTCCCTTGCCACAGCAGGGAGGTCTGTCCCGCCTCCCCATGTGCTTCCCCAGTGCCTGGCCCAGTGTGGGCCAGTTTACCTTGAGCCTTTTGAGCTGGCCTTCCACATCTATTTCCAGGGTAGGGAACATGGACTGCTGCTGGTGGGCCAGGTTCTTGAATCTGTGCAGGCAACCCTCACTGTGAGCCTCTGAGGGTCCACTCTGGACCCGGGGGCTCTGTTCTCCATCACATCTCCCACCGCCTTTCTGCGTCTTACCCCCCCCCCCCCCCCCCCGGGCTGTGGGAGGGTGGGTGGACCTAACCTGGCGGAAAACTCGTCAAAATCCGACAGGAGGTCGCAGATACGGAGGCCTGTCCGGGCAGCTTTGGAGGAGTAAGTTGGTCCGATTCCCTTCTTGGTGGTGCCAATGCTGAAAGATGGGAGTGGGTGCTGCTGAGGAGCTCGGCTGACCCCACCCCTGCTTCCGGGAGACTCAGGGTCCACCTCGCGAGTCAAGGCCGGAAGGAGGCCACCAAACAGCAGCGGTGGGGGCTGGAGGCTCAGCTGCTGTAAAGACACCTGCTCAGCTTAAGCACACAGCACCACAGTGCGGGGCAGGTAAGGGGAGGGTTCTGGGTTCCATTGTCAGGGCTTCCCCCTGTCTGTCTACCTCTGAGCATTTGCATGCGTGCTCTGGTTGCCCCCTGGCTTGGCAGCAAGAACACTGTAGGAGTGCTGGTGCCACACACCTATCCCTAAGGTCTGCACGGGTGACCGCAAAGTCAATCAAATTTTACTCGCTGCTGCCACCTGGGTCCTGCTCTGCGCGTTCCTGTGAGAGCGCGCAGGCGATAGAGTGTGCGCGTGACTGCAAGTGCACTGTGTGAATGTACCTATGCAAGGGCACGTGTGTAGGTGTGAATGTGTACACACATGTGTGCAGGCACATGTGTGCCCGTGTGCCATTCATTCATGCAAATACAGCGGCGCTCTTACGTGCACAATTGTATAAGCAAATGTGCCTTGACATGCATGTGTGTGAGCACTGTGCACCTGTGCAGTGTGTGTGTGTGTGTGTGTGTGTGTGTGTGTGTGTGTGTGTATGTGGCTGGTGACTGCTTCCCAATGCATCCCTGGCATATCTGGAGTCCTAACCAACATTTCTGCAGAGACAAAAGTGTAAACACCACACGCGAAAGATCATGCATTGGATGTGAGGCTGCTTGTTGGCCAAGCAGGGGCAGTCACGCCATTGCAATGTTTTCCCACGTTTCCCTGTGGGCCATGTACATGGTTAGGGTAGTGCAGCTGTGTCAGGGGACAGCAGTGACAGTCAACCAAGTCAGAATGTGCCCCCCCACCCCAAGGCTAGACTACCCGATTGCTCTCTTGCAGGCTTATTTATTTATTGGTGGTGGCCCCCTCTCCTGCTCAGACAGGACCTGCGCCCAGGCCACCAGCACGAGGAGCTGGAAGTCCCCGGGAGGAGGGAGAACGGTGACGTGAGGGACTTACTTCTTCCCCTCTTGTGCCTGGCGCTGTACTTCCTGCAGCCCGTCCACCGCCTGGTGGAAGTCAAACACTGTCGCCAGTGGCCAGCACGTGGGCAGGAGAGGAGCAGAGGACAGAAGTTTGTGAGGGACCTCATGTTTTTTGAATGGTGTCAGGAGAAGGGGTCAGCAGGTCCCTGGCTGGGAGCAGATGCTGGGGTTCCAGAGCTCCGGGCTCCACAAAGGGATCACCAAGCATGACCCTGGCTTTGACCTAGGCCTACCTTGAGGCTCATTTAAAAGAATAAGCTTAGCAGCACATGGTACCAGAAGGCCCTCCAGGGTCTGCTGGGCTCTGTACCATGGAGGGGCGAGGCTTCTGGATGGAGAGAGCAAGGAGGGGCCACTCCCGGGGCCCACTGGGAACCTTACCAAGGTGTGCCCTGTCAGAGATGATGAGCCGCTTCTCCCAGTCCTTCAGACCTGTGGGGACATGGCAGGTATCCCCGGTGCTGTTGGCTTAAGTGTGCGGCCAGGTCCCAAAGACCAACATGCATCGCGCAGTGGCCACAGCCCCGCCCTGGCGCTTACTGAGGCTGCTGGGCTCCAAACCCCAAAGACACCACGCCTACGCTAGAGCCCTGCCCGCTTCAGCCTCCTTCCTGGATGGCCTGCACCTTGAAACTCCAGGGGCTGGAACTGCCAAGGCAGTGGTCTGCAGCAGCAGGTTTTGAGGATGCAGGCTGCCCAGCCGCTGCCCCTCAGTGAGGACTCTGAGGTCTATTCAGCAGAGCTAGTATTGCAGCTAGGACCTCACAGGCCATGGGGGCGCGGGGGGGCAGGCGGGGACACGGATGACCTACCTTTCTTCTCGTTCTTCTCTGCCTCTTCAAACAAGCCTGGCAAGTGGATGACCACACCATTGCCTGCAACACAAGGGACAGCATCACATCCCGGGTCTCGGATGCTAACGTTTCCAGTGTCGTTGGCAGACAGCCCCGGCAAGAGGCTGAAGTGGATGAGGTCCAGTCTTAAAGATAAAGGTCGTTTCATCGCACGCAGCAGCACAGCTACACTCGGGGGACACTGGGCTTAGACGCTGGAGACAAGAGCCCTACGACCCACGTGGGTGAGGTCTTGAGGTGCCGTGCTCATGAAGACGGAAAGCCGAATGGCAGCTTCTGGAACCCGGGGGCAGTGGAGGGGCGGGCAGGTGTTTAGGGCTCCATAGTGTGGGTGCGGGGAAAGCAGAGTTCTGCAGTCAGTGGTGTGATGGCCCCATACGCCTCCATCCTGGGTGTTCGCCTAAAGGGGCTGAGCACCGAGCCTGCCCTGATGGTGACAGCAGCTTGTTATAACTGACAAATCTTGAAGGCTGGCCAGGCTCTCAGAAGGTGAGTGGATAAATAACCGTGAATGGTAAACACTGGGGTGTTTCTCAGCACTAAGGGAAGTGAGCTGTCCATCCAGGAGGACCCTCAAAGGCAGGCAAATGAAGGAGAGACGGAGGAGGCCGTCCACTCCGGCCCCAGCTGGTGTGAGGCGAGGGCAGTTGTGGAGGCGGTCCTGGCTCGTTTGTATTGTTGACAACTCAGCAAGGAGAAGAGAGCTCAGCTGGAGAACTCCCTTGATCAGCTTGGCCTGTGAACGTGTCTATGGGACGTTATCTTGACGCCAGAGAGCCTAGCTCACGGTGGGTGACGCCACCCCTAGGCGAGTGGGCCTGGGCTGTATAAGAAAGTCGTTAGCTGAGGCATGTTTGGTGGACATGCCATTAATCACAGAGGTCTGGAGGAAGCAGCGGGCAGATCGCTATGAGTAGAGGCTAGCCTGGTCTACATAGCAAGACCCCGTCTCAAGAGAGAGAGAGAGAGAGAGGAAGGGAGGGAGGGAGGGGAGGAGGATAAACAAACAAACAAATAAATGGTGATTAGAGATACGTGCATAAATAGAGAAAGAAGGAAGGAAGAAAGCAAGCTGAGTATGAATGATCCAGAAAGTGAGATCCAGTGAACAGGTTTCCTCCACGGGTTTTGTTCCAGATCCCACTTACGCTCCCACCCTGACTCCCTCCAGGGATGAACCTTGACCTGGAAGTGTAAGCTAAAGAAACCCTTTCCTCCCCAAGTTGTTTTCAGTCATGGTGCTTTATCACAGCATCGTAAAGCAAACAAGAGTAGAAACCAAGTGTTCCACGTGGAGACCTGGTGATCACGGCGGACCAGAACGGAGGTGCTGGGCTAGGATCCGATGCCAAGATGATCATTAAAAAAACAGCCAAACTCAGGAGACTCCCGCTCCAAGTCAGTACAGCAAGAAGTTCTCTCTCTCCCGAGGAAGGAACCTAGATGGCTGCCCCCACGCCATGTGTGCCTCCGGAGCTAGCCTTCTCTGCCCACACATCCTGCTCTAAGGCGGTGTGACTCTCCGTCTCCTCAGCTGAACCCAGAACAGCAGGTTAAAGCCCATTAGGAGCAGGAAGTGCGAGCGCTTGGGAGGCTGAGGCAGGGGGATCACAAGTTTGGGGCCAGTCTGGGTTACATGCCTCCAAATCCCCTATTGATCCGGTGCTCAGCCTGAGGATAAGGAATTCAAGGCTAGACTTGACTTTGGAGCAAGTTTAAGGCGGACCTGGGCTATAGAGATCCTGTCTCAAAAAGCAAAGAAAAACAACAACACAAATCTAAACTACCACCTAGATGATGATTGCACCAATGACACAGGGGACTTCTGAGTGACCAAAACATCCTAATATCCCCCAAACATTCTGAAATCAACTATGGTGGCCTCAAAATGGACCTTTACAGAGGATAGTTTTAAATGATTCCATTTTGATTGTGTGCGTGTTTTTTTTGTTTGTTTTGTGAGTCCTGGGACTCGCTTTTTTAGACTAGGCTGTTCTCAAACTCACAGAAATCCCGAGTGCTGGGATTGCAGGCATGTGCCACCACCGCCCGGTGTGTGTGTGTGTGTGTGTGTGTGTGTGTGTGTGTGTGTGTGTTTTGCCTGCCTATGCATGAGCATGCTTGTGCACTACGAACATGTCTGGTGCCCACGGAGGCCAGAAGAGGGTGTTGGATATCCTGGAATTGAAGTTACAGATGGTTGTGAGCTGCCATGGAGGTGCTGGGAATCAAACCTATGTCGTCTGGAAGAGCAGCTAGTGTTCTTCACTGTTGAGTCACCTGTCTAGCCCCTCCAGTGGGTGAGTTTTATAATGTGTACATTATGGTTCAATGAGGCATTTCATTGAAATGGCGTAAAAATAAGAAGATAGGAACCATGGAGAAGCGTGGACCCCAAAGATTCCCAGAATCCTACCAGCACCCTGGGAACTGTGCTTTATCGTGGAGAAAACAAACATGCGATCTTCAGCGTTGGTCCACACAGCTAGAGACAGACAGAGGCTCAGAGAGGGGAGGCTGCCTTTCTGAAGGTCACATGCCATGGCAGTATGGGGTCCCGGCTGAGGCGACCAAAGCAAGCAGAGTCCGCCATTGCTCCCAGGAGGGATCCTATGCCAGCCTCGTGGGGTTGGCCACGGCATAGGTTTGGCAGAGGGAGGAGGGACACCAGTCCAAAACGGAGTGACTCAGAGATTACACAAGCCACAGTGAACACGAAAGGTCACCCAAATGCCACAGCGTCTTGAAATAACCCCATGGCAGAGGCAAGGAGTGTCGTAAGCTGAGGGTCAGCACAAGCTGGTGCTCTTGCTGACTGGCTGCTGTGATGGCCCCGGCACCTCTACTCTTGAGTGAGCTCCCAGATAATTGCCAGTCACTCTCCTGTTATTGGTTCCAAGCCGTCTTCTGGCTTAGGCAGCACGTGTTCTGGGTCATACATCTCCACTGTTGCCTTGTCCCACCAAGGAGGGTTCTGGGTGAAGCAGAACCAGGCTGGCAATGTTTCCTGCAGCCCCTCCACTCAGCACACAGGCAGACAGGCCTCCTCAGAGGCTGGGGCTCCTCACCGTGGAAGGAGGTAGTCACCACTACCCTGGCTCTGCACTGGAGGGCTAGACACGGTGTGCTGGCGAGGAGGGGCTTTAAGAAGCCTGGGCTCTGACTCTCCCGGTCCCAGCACATTTCCTTCCTCTGCTCCTACACAATGGGCCAGACCTGTGCTAGCCGCTGGCCGTGGACAGGCAGGACCTCGCCTCTGCTTCCTGACTGAGATGTGGGGGTCAGATAAGCCACATGCATGTCAGTCAGAGCTAGAAGAATGAGGACAAGAGGGGCTGGGGGGAGAAAGAAGGGAACCCTCTTCAGCACCAACTCGAGAGACCAGGGGCAGGGAAGCCTTGTCCGGCATCTGAAACAGCCCAGACAGTATCAGGAAATGTGCCCAGTCTGTCCCCAGGCCTATGTACTCTGAAGGCACGCCCTTGCACACTCACTCCAGACACACAAACACATCCATACACACGAACTTGAACACACACGCACATGCACCCATGCACACACGCGCGTGCACACACACATTGCTCTGCACACTCCACAGAGCTTCCTGCACCTTTTGACTGATGAACACACACACACACACACACACACTGCTCTGCACACCCCACAGAGCTTCCTGCACCCTTTGACTGATGAACACACACACACACACACACACACACACACTGCTCTGCACACCCCACAGAGCTTCCTGCACCCTCTGACACCAGAATGGACCATGCTCTGAGGACAGTTTCTGGGTAGAGAGCTCCAGGTGAGCACACTGGGCAGGCAGGCCGAGGTCCAGCCCTGGGGCTTGTACAGTGAGACTCCCAAAGCCCTCCTCACACACAGGGATCCCGGTTCAGGAAGTCAGGCTGAGGCTGGCGGGACACTCACCAATGAACGACACGGCCTTGGTGTTGATGATGCCGCTGGGCAGCAGGTGAAAGTCATACTCCTTGCCATCCACCACTACTGTGTGCCCAGCGTTGTTGCCCCCCTGGGAACAGAGAACAGAGTGAGCAGCTGGAACCTGCGTGTTGAAGACGGTCCCACAGGGCCCTACCTAGTACCCTAGCCTCACTCCAGAGCCAACTCTCTCCCTACACCGTGTTTGAGGCCCCAGTGTTGTCCAGCGGTACCGCCTGGGCAATATAAGCCAGTGGTCACGGCTTTGGGCTGAGTTAGCACGGATCCTGGGATGACCAGGGATTGGATGGGGGGCTGTTCTGGGTCAGCCTGGTCCCACCAGGGGAGAATGAGGAATTGAGGATTAATCCCTGAGGAGAGCGCAGACCCAGACCCCACAGCCCAGCTTGTCGCCCTGTGCGGCAGAGCCCTGTTCAAGGGAGGCCCCTTCTTTTTGGAATTCAAGCTGACCAGGTAGGCCTGCTGGGACAGGGCTTTCAGGGTGGGCTTCAGCCTCAGCGTCCTTCCTCTATTAATCAGCCACCTGACCATAAGCACACAGCTCCAATGCCTGGACGCTGCGTCCTCAGGCTCCAAGAGGCTCGTGACATAGGCAGCTAATGCCAGTGGAAAAACTGGAGAGGCCCACGGTGGTGGGTGACCAAAGCTTTGGTGCCTTTGACTGGGGTAGCCTGTCACCCGCACGGGGCCGCGGGGCTACTCAGCAGGCTTCTGTCCAGCAGGACCCTGTAGTCCGGGTGTGCTGGTGGGTGGGGCCAAGGCACAATGCGTAAGGCTGAAGCCATGAACAGGCGGAAGGGACACGCTGCCTGGATGTCAGCACGCGGGCACACAGATCGGTGTAGTGAGGGACAGACTCAGCCCCCAAGACGGCTTGATGTCCTGTAAGCCAGGCCTCTCGTGCCCGTGTGTGGTACTTCCAGAGCAGCGGTTCTCAACCTTCCTAAGGCTGCGCCCCTTTAATACAATCCCTCATGCTGCGGTGACCGCCCCACCATAACATTATGTCATTGCTATTTCATAACCGTAAGTTGCTACTGCTGTGAATCATAGCGCAATTATCTGATGTGCAGGACATTTGCTATGTAACCCCAAAGGGGTTGCGACCCATGGGTTGAGAACCACTGCTCTGGACAAAGTGGTCAGGCTTTCAAAGGCCAGTAGAGTTATGGCTTGCAATACCAAATCCCACCTGCAGACAGCACTGTGGTTCCCCTAATTGTGCGATGGGCCCAGCACTGGGGCTTGGCCTGTAGTACTGAGCTCACTCCAGCCTAGGGACCCTGAAGCTCAGCTCCAGGCTACCCCCCCCCCCCGCCCCATCTCCCAGAAGACACACGGGCCAGGCACACAACACTTTGTTTAGCTCGCTGACAGAGCTGAGGCGGTTTCAACCTCCATACGTCTTTTCCCTGCAGGACCCTGGGCGAGGGCACATCTCGCACCATGTGCGGGCAGAGTCATGTCTACCAGGTCCTCCGCTGAGGCAGGCGCTGTCAACGCTGATGCTGAGATCCTGTGTAAGGGGCTTTCCCTCCAAGGACTTCGTTTTCCACATGTTTCCGGTTCCAGACCTGTTTGCCTACCCTAAGCTTCCCGTTCCTTGCTTGCCCTCTGTGAGGCTTATCACCACGTACATGACCTCGGATGACAGAGATGGGTCAACCAGAGGCCTCCTTCATGGCATGGGCCCCAGGAACCTGACTGTTAGGGAAGGTACTCTTGTGCAGCCTGTTCTGAAACTTCTGAAACACAATTCTGCTGGAGCTGTTGGCCGTGTAAAGGGTAGGAACCGTCTGGGAGGCCCCTAAGTTCAACAGGACGTGCAGGGAGCTCCCGATCTTTGGGTGACTCCAGGCACATGAAGGTACCGCCTTGGGAAACCCGAAGTGCTTGGCAGTCTGGCCTTACAGGCTCTGTGAACAGGTGACAGAGACACGGGACTGTGCATGGAGCAGGAAAAAATGACACAGAGACAGACAGATGTAGTGCTAGAAGGTGAACTGTAAGAAGGGCCCAGAGGGGGCTGGAGGGATGGCTCAGAGGTTAAGAGCACTGACTGCTCTTCCAGAGGTCCTGAGTTCAATTCCCAGCAACCACATGGTGGCTCACAGCCATCTATAATGAGATTTGGTGCCTCTTCTGACCTGCAGGGATAGATGGAGGCAGAATGATGTACACATAATAAATAAATAGTAAATAACAGAAGGGCCCAGAGAGGCCGTTGGGAAGAGTAGAGGATTTGTGGATAGGGCATGAAGGAGGTGGGCACCGAGGGACATACCTGCAGCTCTGGCTGTGAATTCGTCATCACTTGGGCACAGCAGATGCCTGTGTCCTGCCCCTGAGTTTGTGAGGGCAGACCCCCAGAATGGGGACACAGCCACAAAGAGCATAGGAACAAGCCTTAGGGTTTGGAGACTCCAGCCATGCTCTTCTGCTTTGACACAGTAGATGCAAAATTGCCACCACCCCCTTTCAGTTCCCAAAACACTGATCACCCACGATGCTGCTTCCTTCCTGAGGCAGTCAAGGGGGTCTCCGAGAGCAGATGGGAAAACCGAAGTCCAAAGAGAAGACAAGCTCGCAACAGAGCCTAGAGTGGTGGATGAGCCTCTCCTGGGCTGGCAGGCCTCCGGGGACAGCAAGGTGGCCAACCTGCCTTCCAGACACCCAAGGCGGGCTGCTCTGTCCCACCCTGCCTTTGAATGTGCAGGGCCGTGTCAGCTGGCTTGAGAACACAGACAGCAAACACCCGCCTGTCTGTGTTGGGGTAAACACGGCTGCCTAGGAACAGGCATGAGTGTCACGGGCCAGCAGGTATCAGATGACCTCAGCACCAGAGCCCACTGCAACACCCAGACATCAGGCATAGGCCATTGCTAAGACACACACCAGCTCAGGGCCCTGGGCTTCCAGCAACCCTGTGGAGCCCAGGGTGACAGTCTCCCTTTTCCCACTGAGGTCTTAGATGGATGGCTGCAGAGGGACAGCTGGTGGAGACAGAGACAAGCGTCCCACGCCTTTTCTTTGGCTTAACTAACCCCGTCCAGACATTCAATAAGATCTGGAAATGATGGGAGTCCCCAGCCCCCGAAAAGGAGGGGGCATTCAGACCTGCCTGGTACACAGGCCCCCTGTGGAGGTGGGGTGAGGAGAAGAGAGGTCAGTTCTGTGTCTGCGGCTCAGCGGCCACCTTCAGTGGGCAGGCTCTGCAGGGCCCTGTGGAGATCTGCACAAGTGAGGAAACACCACCCATGCCACCGTCAGCGCCAGCTCGAGGATGGGGGGGTGGAGAGGTGTGCCAGCCTCAGACTGCTCTAGGGCATCTTAGACCTCAGGATCTCACTGATCCTTCAGTGTGGGGAAGAGTGCAGCCGTGCCTAAGTGGGCACTGGCCAGTGTGTGCCAGGAATAGCCCGAAGATCTGCCGTGGCCCCGCCCTGCTGTGGGGGCCTTCTGCTTAGAATGACTACTGGTGCTGAGCACTAAGAAGGATCCGAGACTTCAGAGCCAGGCTCTTGTTCAGTCCCCCTTCCTGGAGGGCCACTGGAAGAGGACCAGCTGCCTGTGTTTGCAGATGGATGCCAGGCACCTGTGTACGGCCTTAGGCTCCATCAGCAATGGCGGCTCCTCTCCACCTACAGGGTAAATAGTGTGGAGCAGTGCCTTTGAAGGCATGGTCAACCAAGGCACATCATGACATCTCTCAACACTGGCCATGTAAGGGGAATGGCTCCAAGGACAGCTCAAAAAGCACATACCTTGAGATGCCTGTACCACAGAGGCCAGGCTTGCAAGCCCACGGTCAGCGGCATCACGGAGCCCGCTGGGCACAGCAGCACCCCTTGGTGCCTCCAGGCACCTCCCAGAGTTTTCTCCACAGCACAATTTTGAGGCCCCTGTGTACATTGTAACCCCCATCACTCTTTGACAGCCTGGCTGGTCACCCAGAACACCCTGTCCCTGGTGTGCAAGGGTTTAAGACAAGAGACCTTTGTCTTGGGCAAACAAAGAGGAACCAGAGATAAACCGGATTCTGTTCTAGATCAAGTTGGTCCGGCCCTGTGCTTTGCCCTGTAGCTGTGACCCAGTATCTCCAGTGTAAGGCAGGGAAGGGTTCTGGGTGCAAGTCCTGTAGGGGCACCCTCTGACCAGGATGCCTATGCCGTGGCTGGGGACATACACCACAGAAAACAGCCTACTCAGTCATGCAGCTGAAGAAACTACCTGCCCCCACAGCCCTGAGCGCAAAGCCCAATGTCCAGAATCCTTCCCCTATAGCCATCCACCTCATGGCTGTCTGGACACAGCTCCTGACTCTCCAGGGCCCTGCCAGTGCACAGATCTAAGCTAAGCAGAGGACCTCAAAGTTGGATGCAGAGACCCGAGGTCGACCTCCATGGCCAGCTGGACGCCTCTGTTACAAGACCTGTGTAACAGCACACCTTGGAGGCCTTCCTCCCCCTCTCACTGCCTTTGTCCTTCAGGCCAGAACCTTCCATTGCAGGTCCCTGGGCAGGGAGCTGTGGCCTTTGCCTTCCACCAGGGGGTGCTCTGGGCTCCTGCCTCCCTAGGCCTCCTCATTCCCTATTCTGGCCTGATACTTGCAGGCCCCAGGTAGGGCAGGGTACAATGAGATGGCTGAGACACCTAGGAAAGACCCCTGTCCTCCTCATGGACAGCAGGGAAGGGACAGGCTAAGGAACTGGTGTTCAGTTCCCGGGGCCTCTGCAGCTAAGGTTTACCTTAGCTCACGCCCAACTGTCCCAGTATCTGCAGGGGTTTCTCCACACCACAAACAGTACCACTGCCCGTCCCCCCTCTCTCCACTCTGGCTGTCCTTCAGGGCCTGGATGGAGCAGGTGCTAAGTGCCTGCAGGACTGAGCCTAGTTAGTGACACATCGCAAGCTCCACTGTCTAGTCACTGCCCGTCTCCTGTCCTTGCCTGCCAGAGCTCCTGCCCTGGGCCAGAGGAGAAGGCTCCGTAGATTTCTAATCTGCTGACGCCCCTCCCCTCATGGCCACCTTCTAAGGGCCAGGGGTGGGGTGGGAAGGTGCCAAGGTCTTCCTTCCTTTCCAGATCTGCTCACAGACCTACAGCTCACTTCTTTCCTTTCAGGGAGGAGTAGGTTTGGGCAGGAGTGTGAAAGTCCTGCCCAGGGTGATATCGGGCTGTGTGACCCTGAGAGTCCTCTGCTGGAGATACTGCCTGGCCACCAAAGCCGTCAGCAGGTACAGCCATAGAGAGACCTTCCTCTGGAATCAACACCAGGCATTCCCAGCTCACAGAGGGGGCTCCTCTCACCTGCCAGAGGCTCCTGGAGCAACCTTGGATCCAAGGCCATGCATATCCCTTGGAGAAGGTGCCAGAGCCCCTGCAGACCGCCAGGCAGGTCCTGGCACAGAACGTCAGCTCTAAGAGAGTCACTGTGCTAGAGAAAGTCCTGGGATTCACAGCCTCTGCTCATGGTCATGACTATTTACCCTCCCACAAGGTTGAGCTCAGCCTCAGACCTGGGAATGGTTTGTGGGTTCACGGTAGAAGCCAACAAGCCCCCGTAGCATCCTAGAACGGAGCGTGACCGGATGACAGCGCCCTAGCAGCTGAGGCTTCTGGCCTTCCTACCACATGGAAGGAGACTTTTAAATCCCTACAGGCCTGCATGGCAGCCCAGCAGTGCCAGGCAGGGTGCCACAGTATCAGAGAAGGGGGAGAGAGCCCAGACTAGCAGTGGGATGGCACGGGAGATGGTGGCCAAGACGCCCAGGAGTAACAGGTACCTAGGTGTCATCTGAGGGAGCAGCTGGACACGGCTGGCCAGTCAGGCGTCAGAGGAGACATGGAGGTCACAAAAGAGGAAGCCTAGGCAGAGGTGCCCGGGACCCCAAGGAAGCGGAAGAGAGAACAAATGCCCAGCACAAGAGGCAAGTGACTTGAGCTGCAGGAGGTCACAAAGACGTGCCTAGAAGCGAGTGAGGGGGCGAAAGAGCAGTAGGGGAACCAGGGAGGAGAACACAGCCCCCAGCAGCCTCAGAGATTCAGGGTGGAGGAAGGATGCCCACAGTGCCAAGAGCAGGGGGTGAGGCATGAACCGTGTCAGCACTGGGACCTAGAGGCAGAGGAGAATGCTGGACCCAGGGACAAAGGTGTAGCTGGGGGGTGCTCAGCATCGCATTCTGCCCCCACAGACCTCCGTTAATCAAGACGGCAAAGCAAGAAACAAGGGCAGCTGTCGGGGCTGGGCAGAGTCAGAGCCCAAGGCAGGTGAAGTGAGATCTACAGGTGTCTGTGGCCACAGAGAGGTGTGGAAGCTGCCCTTGGAGGATAGCCCTGTTGGCACGGAGAGTTCGCAGCCTGCAGAGGCAGATTGCAGGTCTCTATGCCTGCCAGAGACCAGGGTACCTCTGGGGTTACAGCTGCCTCTTAGGAGTGTGATGCGCCCAGGTTCTAGGCTAGGTCATTCTCCAGGAGCCCAAGGAACCAGGAGCCTCGCTGGCCATAGCCTTTTTAAGTAGCCGACTTGCTATGGGGAGAACTTGACTTGCAATCTTGTCCTAGCCAGTGGGTCCAAGGCTTCAGGCTGGCCTCTGGAAGCTTCACTTGGTCCATCATTCAAAGTCAGAGGCAATTTGCCTAGATCCCCCTCTGTGCCATCATGACGGCTTGTGATAACGGCTCTAAGGGACCCAAAGGAACAGCTAGTTTCATCCCTCAACTCTGAGCCTCAGTTTCCCCACCTGTAGAGGAGCGCTATCAGAGGCTCCTGAACAGAGGGTCCATTAGAGACTGGAAGGGAAACATGTCTCCCCTCCCTTGTTCTCTGGGGGAGGCCTGTTTGGATCTGCTGGGGAGGCCACGGGCTAGGGAGAGCAAGTCCGTCTGAGTGAGTGATGATGTGGTCCAGCTGACTGTCATCTCTGCAGGTGCTGTCGAGCAACAGGGATCTGGGCCTGGCATGTTGACTTGGGCTCAGGGTGGGCGGGGAGATGACCATCTCCACCAGAACTGTGTCCACAGCTGGAGGTGGAGCCGGAGGCCATCAAGGCATGCCGTGGGGCTTATCTGACAGTGCTGACCAGAAGCAGCAAGTTGTATGGAGGGACCGTAGGCGCCACACAGGAGCACCCAGGGGAAGTGGGGGGGGGCTGCGGTGCTGGGCTACTTTGGCAAGAGGCCCTCAGAGCACTGGGAGTATACATACCCCAGCTGCACTCACACAGCTGGACAAAGCATGCAAGGTGTTGGGAGTGGGGAGTCCAAGGACTGTCCTCAGGACCTAGACACTTCAGGAGAGAGGGCGAACAGGGCAAGAGACTAGGCTATCTCCCTATTTTGGGGAGAATTTTCCAGAAACCCTCATCCCTAGTTGGGCAGGTGTGGCTCAGAGAGCCGAGCTCTGTCTCCTGCCACAAGCCTGAATGAACCCCTGCTCTGAACTCCTCGGGAACTCAGCAAGAAAGCCATAGAACCAGAGAGAAGCGACTCCCGCGGGTGCCCCCCCCCCTCCATCTAGGTCAGCAGCCATTTAAGCGTGGCTCCCAATCGAGTCACGATTGGGCATGTTCCCTCAAACTGAGCCCTTTGTGCTAGGCTGACAGCCCAGAGGCAGCGTGGTTGTCAGGGGCAGCGTGGCACCACCGGGGACCCAAGGGGACCAGGCTACTGGCCCAAGGAAAGTACCCACCCCCTGTCCAGAGTCAGCC